CTCACTTTTGAAAAATTTCTTTGTGTGTGTGGAAATATTTTTGAAAAGCTAAAGTACGGCTAACTTTGTAATGATTCTTGTAGCAGTCCTCAAGAATGCGTACAAAGTGTTTGAAAATGTTTTGTTTGAAAAGTGATGTGAAAAAATGTTTATTTTTAAAAAAGATTGTGAGCAAGCGATTTGTTGAGTCTTACCCACTAAAGGTCATCCTTGTTATTTTCTTTCTCTGTTAGAGATAGTACTATCCACACCATTATTTGGTAGGTAGCCCTATCTATTGGATATAACGAACAGGCGTAGGGTCATCGTTTTGATCATCGAAGGCAACTTTAAGGATACCTTAGCAAATTTTGAAGGGGCTATCATTATTTTGCTTGTAGGGTCATCGAGGGACTAGATCATTTACCGTAGGCAACTCGAGGGTCATCGAGGGGCTATGATCTTTTATTTAAAGGGACCATGATGATTATTTTGCTAAGACATCCCTAATTTCGAGGGACATGACCATTATTTCCGAAGGCAACGGAGAGAGGTTACCCTAGAGGTGCAAAGTGTGCAAAGGTGATTAAGTTCAATTATTTTATCTTGAATTAGGGTTTTCTAACGTATTATTTTTATTCGTTCCATACAAACCCTATTAGCATACTTCTAACAGTTATATATACAGGTATATAAAATATAAGTGCGAAAAGTAAAGCCCTAGGACTATGGCTTTAGGGCCGTTACAATATTTAATAAAACCTTGCGAGAAATTAACACTAAGCTATTACATTATTTGTACATCCTATAAAATTTGTCTAAGAAAATAAATGGCAAAAATAAACAAAAATGTTAGAAAGATTATTTTTAAAGTCCTAAAATCTAAATTATTAGAAATTAATTTTTTGTGTATTTTTGGTTTGATTTTATATGTTAATAAAAATACCTAATGTCTAATTTTTAAACCTATATCTAACTAATTAAATTAATTGATAAAAAAGACTAAACCTAACTTTTGTTATAAGTTTTTTCTGATTTTTATTGGATTAAAAAAAATTAGTTAAAAAGAAATAATGGAAAATTAATTAAGAAAGAATGAGAAAAAAAAATAGGAAAAGGTTTGAAAAAATAAGGGTAAACAAAAAGAATACCAGCGCTGAGGCTTGAATCTGTGCCCTTCCTTTCACCAGTCACCTTCCTTGCCAACTGAGCCACATGTATTTCGTGTTAAGGATTCAACCATCAATCATTAAATAAATAAACAAAATTAAAAAATTCAAATTAAATGCAAGTCAAAGTGGGGCCCTGGGTATTGCGCTCAACCAATCAAAATGCATCATTATGCCACACAGTGAGTCAACTGGTCAACAAAATTGAGTGAATGGAGAAGTGACCAGAACCCTAGTTCCGGTCATCTTCTCCGGTGAACCAAACTTCCAAACCTGCAAAATATGCAAAATCAAAACAAAAGAAAGACCCTACTCCCCTAATTCGAGGGCTACGAATCCAATGGAAGGGTTCTTTTGGCCTGAAACAATTTGTAAATGGAGTTACTAAGAAAATGCAAAAAAAATACAATCAACAATGGCAGGTATCCATTCTCACGTCCAATCTCACATATAAAGGCTTCAACTTGTTCTAAATGACACCATGAACACATATGAATGCATAAAATTAATTTATATTGCGTGAATAGAAAACTCAAAGTTGAAGAAAATACCAAAACAAGTGAGTTCATGTGAGAGAGTTTTGGGATGCTTTGTGCTTGAGTAAGGGTTGGAACAGGCTCCTAGGATCTTCAGGAAGCTGATGTGATGCTTGGTTTCGATTGAAGAAGGTTGCAAATAGCGTTTTGTGTTTGCCCTAGTTTGAAAAACTTTGAGATTTTTTTGAGGGTTCTTGGAGGCAACCTGTGCGTGTCCATTGTGATATGATGTTGTGTGTATTTCTAAGAGAGTGCATTAAGTCAAGATATATGGAAAAAATCTTGTGTAATTAAAGCCAAATCAAACAAGAATAAAACATGTTTTTTCAAGCTTCCATATTTGAAGATTCTTGACATATTTGAATTCACACGGTTTTGGAAAGTTGGATATGTGATCTTGGGTCTCAAATCTGATCCAAAACCAAACCCACATGCCTTGGTCCATCATTTTGTTATTTTATTTAATTTATTTTATATTTAATGAATAAAAATAAAAGATAATGCATGGATGGATTTATGGGTCTTTAAACGTGTCATGAACATATTTGAACCTAAAAACATAGGCCCATTAGCCCAAAAATGAAATTTTGCTCAAAGTGGACTTCATGCATTTTCTCAAAATTGCTCAACTTGAACCAATCATAACTCTCTCAATTTTTGTCATATGAAGTTGTTCGTTGACTTTTTGGAAATCTCAAGATGTCCCCCATAACTCTCCTGTTGGTCATTTTTCCATTTGAAGTCTTTATCTTAATGTAAATTGCTTTGACAAAAAATGTATTTTTGTTGACTTTTAAAATGACCTATAATGTTTTGGTCCATATCTCTCAAATGAAGCATTTTTGGACTTGAGCTTAGAGAGACAAAGTTGTAGAGAATTTAATTTCCATCAAGATGAGCTTTGGTTGAGAATTTTATGATGAAGTATGTGAAAGTTATGCTTTGTCAAATTTTAGTTGACTTCTCCTAAAGAAAACCCTAATTTAGCAACTTTTGATTTTTGATGAATCTTGAGTTTTCTTGATGAATCATGATCAAAAATTGATCAAATGATGAATGTGACATCAAAATATTGATGTTTACCAAAAATCTTGAAGTTTGACTGTATGTTGACCATAATTGACTTTTTGTCCAATATAGTTGATTTTCACCCATCTGAGCAATTAACTAAGCAAATTTGTGATGTAAAGCTTGAAACTTGACATGAGGATTCTTTGAAGCATATGAGGAACCACGAAACTCAATTGAAGCATTAGAAGCTCAATTTTCTTTGAGAAAACCAAAACCCTAACTGTAGGCCACTGCTTAGGAGGAGGGTTCATCTGATAAACTCTTGAATAGTCTTGAGTACTTGAGAACCTTAGGAGCATGACAAGGTGTCTTGAATCAATTGACTTCAAAAATGGAAGGGCAAATTTTGGAGTACAACAGGCTACGCCGTTTTGTTGAGGTGTATGTGGGCAAGATGTTTGGTGGAGAATACCATTACTGGACATAAAAGTTTGAAATTGTTGGGATAAATAGTCACAAGCATTATCACTTCTTAAGGTACGAATAAACACAACAAACTGAGTTTTTATTTCTTTATAAATTTTTTTCGAAAATAGAAAATAATTCTGATCTATTTTTCATTAAAAATAACCATGTGCAACATGAAAAATCATCAATAAAGATGACAAAATACCTAGACTCAAGAGTAGAGACAATATGTGAGGGACTCCAAACATCGGAGTGAACTAAAGCAAAAGGGAGTGAAGCTCGTTTATTGAGCCGATTGGAAAATTGACCACGAGTGTATTTCCCTAATTGACACGACTCACAATTTAAATTAGATACACTTGGCACCAACTTCTGTAGTTTTGAAAGACTAGGATGACCTAATTGAGCATGGATAGTGAGTGAAGAATCTTTGGCTGAGCATGTCTTAGATGACACTGCGAGCTAATAAAGGTCTTGAGACCCACATATGACAGCAACCGTCTATCCCGAACTCTGATTATGTATGGTGACATTACTTTTAGTGAAGGTGACAATACAATCAATAGAACGAGTTAAGCGACTGACTGAAAGTAAATTAAATGGACAATTAGGTACATAGAGAATATAAATAATAGAGAGAAAAGATAGAAATTGAACAATACCAATTCCTTCGGATTGGGTTTGAGAACCATTGACAGAAGTTATAGTAGGTAAGAAATCAGAAGTAGAGATGAAAGGTAAAATATTTTTATTACCGGTAACATGATCAGACACATCAGAATCAAGGATCCAAGGTCCAAGAGAAGATGATTGAGAGAGGCAAGCAGATGATTTACCAGTGTGGAAAATCGAAGCAGTAGAATTTGAGTTCTGATAATACTGATACCACCTGAGAAAATCATCGTAGTTTGGCGTAAAGTTTCGAAGAGTAGCCATGATGAAAATCTGAAGAGAGAAAATATCACACGAACCAGACGAACAAGACTATGGTTGGACTGGATCACAATTTTTCGAGAGTGGAAAATAAACAGTTGCACAATGGCGATTGACGGGGTGGAAAAATCGCCAGAATCAAAGAAGACGCTTCTACCGATAAGATTAGTTTATCAGAAGGTCACCGAAAAACAATAGCAACACATATTTGTATGATTAGGAACTCAAATAAAAATTATTTAAACACTATCATAAAATTAAATATCATTTAATCATTTCAATTATACATCATTTGATTTTTTTACCTCTTATTTTTTAATAGTAATTTCTTTTATTTTTTACTCTTTTTTTTTCTTCATTTATATGTCTGTTTAAATAATTTTAAAATTTAATTGATATGGATCGACAAGTGTAAAACCGTTTTACACTATCAGTAAATTGTGACAATTAAATATTTATTAAGATTTAACTTTTATTTTATTTATTTATAAATTAATATTTATAAATAGTCGTAATGTATCAATAATTTTACACTGATTGTGCATAGTAATTAATCTCATAATTTTATTTGAATTATAAATAATTATATGTCTAACGAACTTTACAAAATTATATTTATTTTTATCAAGGTAGGAGTAGTTTACATTATAAAAAGGATTATGTTAGGTGGTTAAATAAATATCTTATATTTGTAATTTTTAACATTAACAGTATAAAATTTAAGATTAAAATAAACTTTTTGCATAAAAAAATCATTGCTCCTTCACAAATAAATACTAACAAATTAACAAGTTAATGCATACACAATTTCCTGATTTTACACATGCAATTCAACATCTCCAACTTGATTGAAATCCCAGAAAATGAAAACAAAAATTAAAAAAATGAATATAAATGATGAGAACTAGAAAATATCAAGAACTTCTAAAATCAAATTATTGCAAAGAGGACAATTTCCCCTACTCACCCAAAGCTCTCTTGAACACATCCTGCAAAACGTGTGTCCACACGGTATAAACGCTGCACCTTTATGCCTCACCATACACACGCAGCAATTGCGTTCCACCGAAACATTCCCTTCTCCTTCTCTTTCCTCTTCTTCTTCTCGTCGTTTCTCATCCACGTCATCACCGATTCGATCCAAATCAATTTCACTCTCTTCTAACAAATCCATCAACGACATACTAACCTGCACCGTCTCCGATGTATTCACGTTAATTTCCTCGTCGGAAAACTCACCGCCGGCGAGCAATTCCACCGGATCCAAACCGTTCAGATCTTCTCGAACAACCTCGTTTTGTTGTTGCTGTTGTTGTTGTTCTTGTTGAGTTGACTCGTCCGGGTTACGACGCTTTAGACGGAGTACTAATTCCTTAAAAGCCTTCCACGATTTTCGATCTTTTGTAGTGTTGCTGTTATCAACAACGTTGTTGGGTTCGTTTTGTCGTATAATGTCTAAGAGAGTTTGGTTTCGGGTTTTTTGAATGGCGAAAACGGCGTCGTTTTGGATTAACGTTGCAAGTGAGCTTGGAGTGTTGCTTGTGTTACTGGAAGATGTTATTTGATCGTAGAGTGTAATTCTTTGACGATTTTCCATTTTTGTTGTTGTTGAAGGAATGAAAAGGTTTTTGGTTTTGTTACATTTGTTAATGGGAATTTGAGGAATGAATAATGAGAATGTTAATGTAGTTGTGAAGGGTTGCAAGTAGTTGTTTGTAACAAGATTGGAGATTGGAGATATATTAAGCATGAGTCAACGTTGCTTTTGGAGTAGTTTGTTTTACCAAATACAATTATAAAAATGGAAAAAGAAAAAAACAGAAGACGACAACATATGAAAGAGAATTTAAGGTGGAGTTTGTGTCTTCTGTTTCTATTAAGGTAAGTGGTTAAAATTGCGTGACTGTATTAATGGAGGGTTACCAGTAGTAGGGACATAGTGCAGTAGAACATGTTTAGTGAGTGTAAAAAAGAAAAACACGGTCGATGGATGGGATGATTGAATCTGAAAGTGGGACCATTCATAAAGACACAACATAAAGGAAAGACAAAAGTAAAAGGGAGAGACAGAGAAAGCTTTGGATACCTTACCCTAACAGAAAGAAAAAGAGAAAGAGACCACATATATATATCAAATGAGATATATTTGATATTATTCATTTGTTGCCAAATACAGCGCATTCATTTTAAAATTATATATTATTTTAAAATAAGGAATTAAAAAGAAATCAATAAAATAATATATAATATAATTTCTGAGTATTAAGATATCGGTATTTCAAGTGTAAATAATAATTTTTATATTAGATGAAAAATAAGATATTAAAAAAAAAATTTAATGAAAAAAAATATAGATCCAATATTTTAAAATTTAAAATTAATATGTAATTTTAAAATAATATTTTATTAATATATATTATTGAAGGATAAATGATCGCAATCTTATAAAGGTAGCATACGTCTCGCGTAAATAAAATAGTAACGGGTGACATGTTATTTTAGAAAGAACGGAGATATTTCTAAAACAAAACTTGCATTTTTGAAAAAAAAATAGTAAACCGTTTACTTTTCATCAAACCTAGGGAATAAATAATTCTATAATAGTAATTAATTAATTTGAGGGAAAAAAGAGTTGAAAATTTTGAAAAACTAGCAATTTGAAAATTGGAAACCATTGATTTTGATTAGATTGAAAAATGATAGGCGGTGGGGGTCTCGCATAATGTAGAGCAAACTAGTAAAAGATAGTGAGGATTTAACCTATCATCTCCGTATTGTATTTGTTACTTATATGATGCGTTCATTTGTCGTTATACCATTTGTTAAAGTTATCGGTTTTTTTAAGAAATATGAGAATGTATTAGAAATTCGAAAACTACATCGAAAATTTGATAAAAAAATTAGGGGTTTTCACAAAAAAATTATAAAAAATATTGAAAATTTTAAATATATGATAATCATCGGTATTTTTATATTGAAATTTTTTATATTTAATAATTTTTTAAAAAAAATATGTAATTTCTGGTAGATAATAAGGCAAAATTTTTAACTTTTTTCATTAATTTTTTCAAATAAGTAATTCGATAAATAAACTATTCGAAAACATATATACATATAATGGAAAATGACCTACATATGGAAATACAAAACAAATTAGAATGACTTCATAACTTTGTCTTTCTAGTGTCTAATGCGTCTCACATATATTGATTTCCATATTTTAGTGCCTTCAGTACAATTTTGTCTCCAACAGTCAGTGACAGAAGACAATGGACAATCATGCAGTGGCGGAGCCAGCGTCCGGCCAGGTAGGGCAGCTGCCCAGGCTCCGCCCCGAAACCCCTTTCACCTCTACGCCCCTGCGATTACCGTCACCAATTTCAGAGCCGCGAATCCGCAACCACGCATTATTGATCGACCGCGCCGAAGCAAGCCCATCGGCGACCTCACTCCTCCGCACGCACAGCCACGCCGTACAGATCAGCTCCGACCACCACAAATGACTTCAACTCTAACAATCGACCACCACCGCCATGTGAGTACTTCAATCTTTCTTATGGTGTTTTCTTCATTTATTTTGGAATTGAGATGGAAAGGAAGAATGAAAGAGAAGGGATGAGTATTTAGAGAGAAAGTTTGAAGTATGAGAGAAAAAGAAAGCTAATGTGAATGTTCTGGTTCCATGAGTCATAAAGCCACTGTATTTGTTTCACCTCTTTAGTTCTTTTATTTAGTAATATTATTATAGTTTATAATTTTGGTTTAGTTTTAACATTTGGTTATTGTAACAATTCTAAATTACGTTAAGATTTTGCTAATGTGGGTTTAAGTTTTTTTTTGCCTAATCTATTAGATAACCATCACACCTCCCCATTTTTTTACTTACACCCTTTAATTTCTAATCATACAATTGCTTTATTTAAGTCAATTTATTTAATTTGTTTTGATTCAATTAATTAGATTTAAAAAAGTAATATCAAATCAAGATAAAAAAACAAAAAAAAAAATAGATTTTTAATTCATCTAATTAATATAGCAAGAATTAAAAATATATATGTTCTTTAATTGGGCTAATTAGATCTTTAATATTACACATATTTGAGATTTTTTTTCCTGAGTCAAAATAATTTAAAGTTCTACAAATAATATGGTGTCCTCCTTCGAGAAATTAAGTTGGTCGACATATCGTTTATCGGTTTATTATTCAAAAATCAAATAATCAAATCTCACGCGACTAACCAAAATTACTATATTTCATGACGAGTAACACGTATCAGACTCGCTCACTCTGCGTATAAAAAATATTCAACCAAACACCAAATCTTTTTTTTCTTCAAATTAAATTAATTCGAACAATTAATTTTCGGAAAGAAATACGAGTATATTAACTACGCACTTGGTCTCAATAAACTCCACTATTCACACTCCTAGACTACGTATGCGGGAAATTCAAATATATTTTGCAATCTATAAAAAACACAAACAAAACCGCGAACTACAAAATGAGACTCTGATTCCTCCTAAGAGGATACGTAGGCATACGATCAAAAATCGTGACGAGTTCCAGGTTATTCTGTTATCTGTTTTCTATTTCTTATATTCTGCATTTGATTAACTCTGTATTTTGTTTCAAAGATACAATTACTAATGTATACTAATCTCAGCCTAATACTAATCTCACTGGAGTCACTGGAGTTTAGTATACACTAGTATATGTTATTTTGATTGATGAGTATTTATATATTATATACAATGTGAATTTGCGATCTTTAATTTTTCGCCCAGGCTTTATAATATTTCTGCCTCCGCCACTGCAATCATGTTTCAACTTTACATGAACTCAATGATTATTGTTGACAAAACCAACAACAATAATTTTATGCCTACTCTTATACATAGATGGAGTTAAGGCAAGGGAAAAGGTGATGTTAATTAATTTTCTTGGACATGGAGACAAATACGACACTATATCTACAGGAAATAGAGTGATCCATATCAGGAGTCGTCATCCATTTATCCATAACCTATAACACCCTAAAAACCTCGTGCTTAATGTTATAAAATAAAGCATAAATTCACACTTAGGATGTCACTCAACATCAAACACATCTTCTCTGTAACACATAATTAAAATAAAACAAGACATTCAACACTTGTCATCACATGCTCACCTTCACTTAGGGTATCATCGCAGCGAAATTATAAAGATAAACATGATTTACAAGTCATATAAGTCTCATGAGTTTACTTTATTAAACTTCAATAAATATAGTAAAAATCTCCTTTAAAATGACATAATTACCACAACGACGAGAGCATAACATTCAACTCTCAAAATAACATAAAATGGGAATAAAAACATGATTCGCCCCACCCAGTGTCACATATCAAAGCAACATAATTATAACAACACAAAACAAAAAATAAAAGAAGAACAACCTCATGTTATCCTCCACTCTAAGCAGTTACTCAGTTACCTACTTATCTGTAATCCAAAGAGGAGCACACACAATAACAACAACAACAAAGGGGTAAAAAATCACATTAATAGAGTAAGCAGTACATATTGCAAGGTAGAGTATAAAACACATGCATATTCTACAGACAATTACACGCAACATCACACAATACATTCTCACACCTAACTAAATAATTACATAAATAAACATTATACATACAACTCATTTATGTAATGATGTAAGACGATGTGATCGATCTAGAAGTGGGTGGGGGGTGAATAGATCGTTTAAAATAATTTGCGCTTTTTAAAATTATTTTTAGAAAAATATGCAAAAGCTTCCCGGAATATCCAATTGTCTAAACGATCCTCTATTGAAAAGATCGGATATGCTAAACCGTATGAGATATAATGACAAAATAAGAATCAATGCGTTTTACTCAATTAATCAATTACTTATAACTCTCAATGATTACTAATTACTACCAATGAATTGAATGAGATAAGGATAAGCACAATCAATAATTTTGTGGATTAGTCAATTTGTCAAACACCTTGTGAGCAAAACACCTTAGGTTTGGTTTTACAAAATTGTAGTGGTAAGTTTTCTTAGGTATCAATCAAAAGGATTGTTACCAATGTTTTAAATGAACTCAGCACACTACAATTTCAATAAGTGCAGATTTGACAAATTAATTTTCGAACAGTTTAGTAAGCAAGTATAGAAATAAAGAAAAAGCAGAAGAACACACGATTTATTAAGGCAGTTCCCCTTGTTGTCCTCGCGTAGGGTACGTCTGCCCCCAATTCTAGAATCTAGAATTGAGATATTTGATATTAAGTTGCAAATGATACAAGAGAAGAGATAGTTCAAAATACAAACAAATCAATGTTGCTGATGTAACAATTTTCTTCCCTTTCCCTTGTTTGAGAAAAACCAAGTGCCAAATTCTTCGAACAAACCTCCGGTTACCGCTACTTGATTAAGAAAACTCACCGTCTCTTAATCCTTTCACTCGTCTGGTTTCGATTACAAGCTATTTGATCCCAAATCTATCTTCACAATCCTCTGGATACCGCTACTTGATTAAGCAAACCCACTGTTTCTTAATCCTTTCACTCGGCTGAACTCAATGAAG